CACTTTTGCATTCTCCTTGTGTTTGGAAAATAGAAGTATCATCGCAAACCTAGTGGTCTTCTGATTTCCGCCTTCTTGCGTCAGGACTATTAATTTCTCGACCAGTCCATAACAATAATTTAGCGACGAGTACATAACAATTTGGCGACGGGGAAAATTATGGATTATTCTAAATTGGTATTACTATTTGAACAACAAATGAAATTAATGGAAATGTTCGTCAACCAACAGACTAGTCCAGCTTCACCTTCAAGCAATCCCAACCATACCATGCTACCATCTGTCGACGGCATTGTGAACAGTATTTCACAGTTCAATTATGACCCAGAGGCTAATGTCACTTTTGACACATGGTATCAACGTTATGAGGATTTATTCATTGTTGATTTCGCCTCACAAGACGATGCCTGGAAGGTGCGAGTGTTGTTACGTAAATTGGGTCCCACAGAATATGAACGGTACTGCAACCTAATTTTACCCCAGAAACTGTCTGTCTGGATTCAACATAGAACTTGGCACCGAAGTGCAGCAGTTCGAGTTGCCACGTTCCAATTGGCACACAAGGTAGACAAGAAGATGAGTGAAGAGAATCAATAGAGTTTGACAAATATAAGAGTGAAACAGAATGGGTAGTTGTAGAAAGGAATATGAAAGATTACAGAGACTGAATACATCTGCGCCATTGACAACGACTTTGAGCCATGTCACCTATTGTCTCCAGCCATTGATTCCTAGAGTCCCGAGGGCCCCAACCCGGGAGTCTGCATCTCCCTACCTGACTCAGTTTAACTGTCAAGGATTTCATGGATTGATGCCATGTTTTTGTTTGACCACCACTGGCTCTTTTCCAACCTGAACCTATATCAGCTAGCAAAGCCCGTCGGGGGAGGCGGTGGTTAGGCATGCGCAGCACGTGACCTAGCCATCTTAGTCTATGTAACTTTATAGCCTCGTCGATTGATTTTCCCTCTTTGCCCAACACTCTACGCCTAACGTAAACATTACTTATCTTGTGAAACCACCTAACGTGAGAAAGAGATCGCAGACATCTATGATCGAAAGCAGTCAACCTTTTCGTGTCTTCAACGCGTATTGGCCATGTTTCAGAGCCATAGAGAAGGACGGAGCGAACTGATGAGCAGTACACACGTCCCTTGGTTGATAACTGGATGTCACGCCTACGCCAGAGATGGTGTAAGTCAGCGAAAGCAGCTCGAGCTTTTCGGATCCGTGCTGAGATTTCATCGCCAATCAGTCCGTTGGTGCTAATACAACTTCCCAAGTAGGTGAAGTGGTCAACATGTTCTATCACTTCACTCCCTATCACTAAGTTAGGGGTTGACGTCGTCCAGTCGTGTAGCAGCATCTTACATTTTGTAGGGGCGAATCGCATGCCAAACATACGAAGATTGCTGCTCAAGGTGTTCAGAAGACTCTGCATTTTGTCAGCATCCTCCCGTAACAGGACTATGTCATCTGCATATTCTAAGTCCAGAAGACTATTCCCTGGTAACAAGTCGATTCCTGAGTCGTTAAGTTCAGTTAAGAATACTTCCATCAGCATATCTATGATGAAGTTAAACAGAAATGGGGAAAGTGGACATCCCTGTCGGACACCACTGGTTGTTACCAATTCAGATGACAATTCCCCATAAGCCCTTACACGACTACGTGAGTTTGAATAGAGTGCCTTGATTAGTGCAATGTACTTTCTTGGCACTCCCTTCACAGTCAGACATTGCCATAGTACCTTTCGATCCACGGAGTCGAAGGCCGCCTTCAAGTCAAGAAATATGATAATTGTTGGACGCCGAAAAGTGTGTCTATGTTCTAGAATCTGTCGGAGAGTGAAGATATGATCTATGCATCCTCTACCTGGTCTAAAGCCTGCTTGATTTTCCCTTGTCTGTTCCTCCCGAGTTCTGCTTAGTCTATGCATGATTACTGAGCCTAGGATTTTAGAGACTAACCCCAGAAACCACGTGATAAGTGTTTCGATGATACAATAAAGCTGCTGCGTGAACATTTTAGAGACCACTCCTCATTATTCAGCATACGTTATCGTTGCCTCAAGCTGACAATGAATGAAAATGATGATTTTCTTACTCACGTTGGCACAGTCAACCGAGAATGTGAGAGATTTCGACTCAGGTCCTTAACAGATGATCAATTCAAAGCCTTGGTTCTCATATGCAGTCTTCAATTTCCTCGTTTCACAGATATCCGAACTCGACTGCTCAATCAGCTAGAACAAAATCCCAAGTTAACATTACATGACATAGCTGATGAATATCAACGGCTGATTAATCTGCAGAAAGACACACACCTGGTCGAATCAACACCTTCGAGAAGCTCTGATATTCATGCATTACGAAAGAGCAAAAATCTCTCATCATCCACTCCTGACCCACCTTCTCTTAATGTCCCGCGGAAATCTACACATACTCGTCCAACTTCACAAAATACTGCAAAGAAGACCCCAACATCACCATGCTGGCACTGTGGCGCGTGGCACTTTGTAAAGTCTTGCCCATACAAAAATCATCGTTGCAGCAAGTGCAAAATCATCGGTCATAAAAATGGTTTTTGTCAGCCACGCAAACCCAGATATCATAATCCAGCAAAAGCTCGACAAACGGTTGGTCCTAAATCTCCAAAAAGATCATTGAGTCTACGCGCAACCTGTCAAGTCACAACACCAGCTATGCGGAAATATATTGACCTTCAGATGAATGGTCATGATACACGTCTGCAGCTAGATACCGCCTCTGATATTACTGTTATATCAGAGAAACTTTGGAATAATATTGGCAGACCACCAATCGCAAATACTTCTCAGACTGCTCTCAGCACCTGTGGTGGGCGGCTCAAACTTATTGGTGAACTCAAATGTTCTGTTTCCTTCCGCAATACCAAATTCACAGGAATTTGCTACGTCACCAAGAGTGATTTAAATCTTTTGGGACTTGATCGGTTCGATAGTTTGCATCTGGCTGATGTCCCACTAAATTCGCTATGCAATGCAGTCAAGAAGCATAAAATGTCAGACAATTCCGGACGAAGCCGAAGCCGCAAACCCAACAGGCAGACGAAACGACAGACGTCAACAACAAAGTCAAAGGTTCCAGATAAACCCCCAGGTAAACATCCTACTAATCATCAATCTTCTCAATAGGGGAGGTGATATGCATCCACATGTATATTTATGTGTGTGTGTGTATGTTGGTCTCTCTTTCTGTTTGCTCGCTTAGTCTGTGACCATTTCACTTGTATGAACTTGTCTCCTTTAACAATGTATATTCCCCTTATATTATATATAATATGAGTGTTTGTTGACAGTCCGTTGCTTGGTGACATATATCCATATATGGTGGTTGTTGACATGTCTGCTATATTTCGCTATGTATATATGGATCGATACTTCATTATAATTAGCCATTCATGTTAAGACTGTCTAATGATTTGTTCACACACTTTGTCTGGAACATTTCATATATATATTTCGTTCTCACAATCTTGTGACTTACTTTACTTTTGGTGTGATACCACTTTTGCATTCTCCTTGTGTTTGGAAAATAGAAGTATCATCGCAAACCTAGTGGTCTTCTGATTTCCGCCTTCTTGCGTCAGGACTATTAATTTCTCGACCAGTCCATAACAATAATTTAGTGACGAGTACATAATAACTTGCAGCTTATGAACGCAGTGAATGAGACTTACCTGGCTGAGGGGTTTTGAACGCACTTCGAGACGTAGATCAAAGTCAACCACCTATCCTTGGCCATTATAGACTTTAGCTGACATTCACGTTGTACTAAAGTTCTTTTATTTTCACGAAGTGATATGACATTTTCACAGAGTCTCCTCAAAATGTATCTGTCGTTAGTGAAAATCTTCCATCAAAAAACCTCGATATTAAAATGAACAGTAATTTAATACTGCAAACATTTGAGATTCGAGATTCAAGTCACTTTTTTTCTTCTGGAAAACTTATCTGATTCAAAATATCGAATTTTAATGCTTCTTTTTACCATAGCGACAGAGTTTACTCCCTTTGCAGTACTAACTGTCTACTTTGCATTTATATATTTAAAAATATATGAAGAGAATTATATGACGTTACTCCCAAATCTAATATGGGCATGAAAAAGATATTCTCATATCCACTTTCCCTCAATTTGATTTCAGGTGAACACCTTGCACTTAAGTTTTAACGTACAGAAAATTTAACAGCCCTACGACCTGAGACGCTACGTCGATGCCTTCAGGTAGCTAAACTAGAGGTAATTCGTTGATTTTCAGGTTAATTTCGAATCTCCTGTCGATAGATTGTGTTGAACCGAAATGACATGTTTCCGCCTCTATCACGGACGCTTCGACGATACCTAAGGATTGACAGAAAGTTATTTCGATTGGTGGTAACTAGCAATGGAATCCAAGATGTGCAGTTCATTCTATTTGGGACTAAACACCTGGATTTACCTGCACCCCCTAACTGAGTCATGGAGCTACCCACTGAAACTGTACCCACCGTGATACAGGTTTAAAAAGAAACAGCTCTAGTAGCCAAGTGCTTAGTGCATTGCCGTCTAAAATGGTGGGTTCAGGGTTCGAGCCCCAGTGAGAAGACTATCACTTAACAGGAATGCAGGCACATCCTAATGAAGAGTCCCGGTTAGGACGAGACGCGCATCTTGAATTCCACCGCTAGCCACCATCAACCGAAATAACTTGATGTCACTTGATTAGTGGTGGATAGAAGTGGAATTATGACGGATATTTCATTCTTTTCAGGACTCGTCAATTTATAGGGATGAAGTGTATGTCCTGCTGAAAGGGTCCTGAATTCTACCACAAGCCAACACCAGCATAATAACTGTGAATACGCACTATTTAAATGCATTTTTCATCTTTACTTTGTAAAGATATGATGTTTTTAGTCAAGTCTACTATAAGAAAAGGAAACTTGAGAGAGAAAAATAGTAAAAAAAAGAACTTACATGTAGTGCCTGGTCGTCATAATGATCCTCAAACAAAGAAACTACATGCTGTATAGTGACTGTGTCTTTTGGTAAATTCCAATGATGAGCTAGAGTAAAAGCTGCAGAACTAAACCGGCGACAAATTTCTACAGCTTCAAAAGTATGATTATTCATGCAGTCATCATCATCCTCCATGACAGATCGATTGGAATATTGTGAAACAGGTAAGAGTGCAAGACGTGAAACACATCTTTCAATTAACCAGGATAGAAAAAATTGCCTTCTAATCATAAGACTGTCATCAACATCTTTCCCAATAGAAGTACTAATCCAGTTAGGATCATTAGGTGAAAGTAACATGTACAAATCCTAAAGAAAATCACAAGAAGGGAATTGAAAAACAAATTCATAAATTCAAAAGAAAACTTCATCTTACTGGTTAGATAATTCAAAAAGACAAAAGTGACGAGCTTTGCTGAGAAATTAAGAGTGAATTTTTCGACTTTGCAAAGATGTGTATCTACCAACTTACTGGCTCATGTGGAGCGAGATATACAGGTCGTTCAATGCGTGTTTTATCCAAAAAGAGTCAAAGAACATTATCCCGCTTGCCTATGAAAACGTAACAGTGGATCAATAAGGAGTGCTATAAATTCAACATATAGTCAACACTGGTCACTCAGTATGCACGGAGAACTCATTCAAAGTCATCTACAAAGTCAAAAGAAGCCTGCCGAAAACGGTAAGCTTCCGTGTAATTTGCATTGTCAAGGAGGCCTTGGCGATTCGGATACAAAACCCTGATTTGTGCACAAAGAAGAAACCCCCTCCACCCCCTCCTTCTACCTTGGGTATAATTTCAAGTTCTACAACTTTGTTATTAATGTTTTGTTTTCCTTTTTTGTTTTTGGAATTTTTGCATAGCATCTTAGTAACATCTTCTTCTTAAACAACCCTTTATTTACTCTTTCAACCTATGACATAATTTATTTTTTGGACACGTGTCTCCATTATCATCTCATTTCATATTACGCAACCCTTATCAATACTTAACAATCTTCAGCCCCCTAGTTACAATTTTGACTATTCGTCACATTTTAGAAACATTTTGATGAAGTTAACAGTAACCCTAACTAATTTCGTACAGCTGAGTGAGTGAATTCGACGCCGAAAACAGACTATTCGCTGAACTTTGTTGTTCTTCTTATATCCAAAGATGAATTTTGCTGTTTCTATTTCCACTATTCAACTAGGCTTTAAACGTGCAATTTGCCGACACGCCTCAAAGCTTCAAGACTAATGTTCGAGTCGAAATGAAAACAAAATTCAAAGGTAATTAGGATAGAGTTACAAGAGTTACATAGAGTTGTCAACATCTAGAGTAACTTATTTGATCACTGGCGTGATAACGCTGGATAAAATCCACAGTGAGGGAAATGAAATTCAGAGGTATTCATGAGGTAGGTTTCGTGAATGCCTCAAGTAGAATGTCTAAGCTAACCATTCAAAATACGATTTAGTTTTTTTCTATTTCAAACTGGACTATCGCGCTCCAAGGAATATGATCACAATCAATAAATCTATCTATCTCAAAAGAAAACACTTCATTAAAAAATCGTCTAATCAAGATCACCAATCATGTGGAGTACGTGTATTACAAACAGACGAAGCATCAAACAATATACACAGTCTTTTCGCACATATGAATTCTCTAAGGATAATTAAGGAATATATATATATATATATATAGGCTGTGAAAAAGTAACACATTACACTCATAAGAATTAGTGAATAATTCTCATCGAGAAAAAGTGCATATACTGAGATAACAACTGTATATCTACCACTACTAAACAATACAACACTAAACTTTACTGAAACATAAGAAAATGTTTACAGAAATTTGTATGTAATTTATAGGCATGTACGTAACAGGTTGAAACATGCGATGGCTTTTTTATGCAAACACCACCCCCTCCTATGCCAACTGCTATATAAGCGATTGATGAGTAGTATAGGATGTGAAATATACATATAAGATGCCTGATTAGACACTAGTTAGTAACTAGTATCATGCGTCCACTCCTTTGTTTGGTGCAGGTTCAAGGCTTCCAACCATCTAATAACAGCAGTCATGAGTGCATCTTGATATAGAACCACCTAGCGCGGGGCCACATTGCAAACTTGACTGATAGAATTTGGTCTATACTAAACAAAGGACTGGACGCATGACATCAATTACTACGTAGTGTCCAATCAAAGTATCCAATACAATCCTACAGGAGGTCAATCGTGAACCACAATAGCTTACTGGCAATGTCTCTGACTGTAACACTGGGTGACACGGATTCAAATCTCAGGAGGAACATGATTTCCTTCAAGTGTGAATATACATCTTGCTGACTGGTGAGTGTCAACAAGCATGACACCTAGGTTGAAGGCCTCCTGCCGATTACCTCCAACTATTTTAGTAACAACTTTAAACACCTACAAGAGGTACTACATAAAACAGTCGTAGGCTATTAATCAGCCTCTAAAAACATTATCACAATAGTTCAACTGAGATTGTAAATAGATGAGGAGAAAGAAACCTTGATAAAAAAAGTGTACACCGAACTAGAATGCATCTCAGACAACAGAACCGAACATACTTGTGGTGGGAAAAAATCTGAAAGAGAATAGAATTTTGTATCTGTAGCTTGTTGATTAGACTTGTTCAATTTTTCAGGTCGACCGAAAACCAATAATGCTGAAGCAACAATAACAACTTGTTCCCATGAGTTAATTGAGGTTAACTGAGGAATTGGTTGGTTTACAGTATCTTGTACAGAAAATTTTCGATCAAATGCACCATCTGACTTAAAAGAACGTTCTGAAGACATTTCATTGGTAAGACATTCAGAAGGTGAATAATCTACTGTATTTAAGTCAGTTGAATCAATACTCTCATTATCCTTGTGAATTCGACTAGTTACATGTAATGATTTGCCATCAAAACTATATGGATCATTCCATTCAGCTTCAACAGAGAAAACTGGCACTACTTCAGCACGTTGGCATACCTATAGAAAAGTAGAATAAAGAGATATACAGCAGTTAGTAAAAGGTTCAATTACCATACACTTATTCACGTAATAGAAAAAAGGAAGAAGGGAAAACTAGCATTCATCATGAAAACGAAGACTTACTAAATGATGTAATATTAAAGTAAATATATGTGGGAATTTGAAAAGGTCGCAATGTTCTACATCATTTTGCTGTAACTGACCCCATATAAACGACCTGGTATGGGTAAGGGTGAGTATACTTCGGTTTTTTTCCTCGAAGTGCTCTCATGTAGCCACATATTTATTGACACTGACAGGTATTCCTAGCAAAAGTGAATGGTAGAATTCGAAAGTGTGTCATTTACATCTGGACAGCTGGACATCCTGCTCTCCCTACGAGAGTTGGAAAACCGTGACTTCAAACTTATGTCGTACATGGACTCCATGATCCGAACGAATCGATTGGCGTATGAAGCCGTTTCGTTAAGCAGGAACTAGAGGGACTCAACTCTTGACGATGCTTTACTGCCATGTGGATAAGACTTCAAGATAAAGACTCACGGGGAAGCCTCCTTGAGACAACCACGTGCTTCGGTCATGGCGTCGTGACAGTATCGTTGCCCCTAGAACAAAAATATGAAATCTTTCTTGGCGTACTTTTGAGTCCACATAGTGTATAAACCTTATCTTTTATTAATAATTACTGTAATTCAGTTAAAAATCAACAAACCATTTCAAGAAAAAGAACAGACACCCAAAAGGCGGGAACACACTAATAACCTTTAACGCAAGTATGGGCGCTGAACAGCCTGGTTTACGTCTCTCATCCTAATCGTAAGACAGAAGACAACGAAAGACAAAGGATACACAAATATCATTCATAGCTGAAATTTAGACGAACTACTGATTCCGGGTCATCTGATCGATAATAGGTTCCCGTCATTATCCATTTACTTTCGGACTTACAAAACTCTTTACTATTGTTACGACTGAAAAACTGTAGAAAAGATTATAGGATAAATCTTTGTAAACAACTGTATAGTGTCCAAAATCAAATTTCGATGTTGGTCAATTTTTAGTTCATGATTAATTGGGGCGATGAAGGAAGTTAACTCTACAAAACGCGATCTCCTCGTGCTACAATCAATTTACAATATGCGCATAAGCAAGTGTGAATATAACTTAAGAAACATGAATTTAGCCAGCCCTACTGAAAGGAAATTAGTAATATAACAATTCTCAGGATTCAATTTGGAACTGTTGCACCGTGTCTGGAGGAAAATCTTCTTTAGTTGACTAGAGATTCACTGATATCTTATGGTCAGCAAAGCGGAAAAGTCTCCCGCATGCTCCAAAACCATACATGCAGAATAATAAGAAAACTCCAGTGAATACTTTCGGATGAGAAGTAATTTTTAATAGTCGAACTTTAAACATATGAAAATGTCCCGTGATAAACTCCCATACAGTGAACGACAACATACAATGAAAGTGGGGGTTGATTGATGGTAGAAAATAACTGCTTTGCATACACTCAGTTTTCTCTAACTGAAAGCACCCATACATACATATTTTCGAATCCGTATCTTCTTGTAACACTTCAAATGATAACAACATAACCACTGGCATGTAAACCGCTTAGAATCAGTAGATTATTGTATAAGCTGAAATATAGCGCATTAACTTAAACACTAGACTTTCAGACAAAGGGCAGAAGGTTCCTATCGAGCTTCAAGAACTTGAGTAGTAACGCTAATCGTCTGGTAATAAGAGTGACTCAAAAGCAGGTAAACTCGCCTAGATTAGTAGCTCGCTAGTTTTCTAGCCGGTCCCAAGCCCGGATAAAGAGGGAGGGTTGGGGCGTGGTGCTAGCAACTCCACCCCTGTAAAACAACCAAATCGCTACAGAAACTTCAATGAATAAATATATTAAAAATTCTAAAAACATAAGCAATAACCTTATTTCTCGCTGGAATCGGGGAAGTGAAATGACGCAGGCTGGTGAAAGCCTTCGGGAAGCCAGTCAGCCGATATGCCTTCTTTCGATGAAAGCAAAAATAAGGATGGGTACCTGGAATGTTCGTACAATGTACGAAACTGCAACGGCTGTCCAGGTAGCCGCTGAAATGAGAAGATATACAATAAGAGTGTTGGGATTCTGAGAGAGCAGATTGAACGAATGTGGAAGGTGCCAACTACCAACTGGAGAGACAATAATCTATTCCGGCCACCCAGAGGACAATCACGAGCACACCGAGGGAGTGGCCATCATGATGTCACCAACAGCAGCCAAAGCCCTCATGCAGTGGGAACCAATCTCCTCCAGGATAATGACAGCCAGGTTCAACTCAAAAGGAAGGAAGCTTACAGTCATTCAATGCTATGCGCCTAAAAACGTCTCAGAACAAGAGAAGAAGGAGGCTTTCTACAGACAACTACAAACAGTAATGGACAACGTCCCAAGTGGCGATATCAAAATCCTGATGGGCGACATGAATGCGAAGCTGGGAGGAGACAACACAGGAAGAGAACTCACCATGGGTCGTGAGGCCCTCGGTGAAATGAACGACAATGGTGAACTCTTCTCAGACTTCTGCGCCTTCAATGATTTGGTGATTGGTGGTAGTGTGTTCAAACACAAGGATATACACAAGACGACATGGATTTCACCAGATGGAAACACCAAGAACCAAATAGACTTCATCTCAATTTCAAGAAAGTGGAGACGGAGCCTACTGGACACAAGGTCAAGGAGAGGAGAGGACAGATGTGGGTTCAGACCACTATCTAGTACAAGGGACTTTCAAGGTGAAACTAAAAGCCTCGAGGATAGCTGGGGATAGGCCACAATGCAAGTTCAACACTCAAACTGAAGGACACAACCACAAAGGACACTTTCACTGCAACTGTCAGAGCAAAGCAGGAAACACTGTGTGACATCACTGAAGAATCATGCGTGGAAGAACATTGGAAGTCTCTGAAGGCGATTCTCAACGAAACGTGTTCAACGGTTCTAGGAAGAAAGAAGAGACAAGACAAGGAATGGCTCTCAACGGACACTTGGAAATTAATAGAAGAGAGGAGAATGGTGAAAGAGAAAATGATTCGATGCAAGGACGGACAGGAGAAGGGGACGCTGAACTCAACTTACACAGCATTGGACAAAGAAGTGAAGAAAAGTGCTAGGAAGGACAAAAGACGATTCTACGACAACCTGGCCACTGAAGCTGAAAAGGCAGCAGGCAAAAGGGACCTGAGGACATTATATCAGATAACCAAGTCTCTATCCGGGAAGAGATCAACACAAGCGAAACCTATAAAAGACAGCCAAGGGAACCCAATTACCAAGGAAGAAAAACAGATTAAACAATGGGCGGATCACTTCAAAGGACTCTTGAACCGACCACCACCTGCAACCTGTCCAGAAATACCAACAACAGCGCACACACAACTGCAAGTTGACACCAATCCTCCAACGAGAGCTGAAGTCTTGAATGCAATCAAGCTTCTGAAAGCTGGAAAAGCAGCTGGACCAGATGGAATACCCCCTGAAGCATTAAAAGCGGACCCAGAGACGACAGCAGACATGCTGACTCCATTATTGCAAAAGGTCTGGAAGGAGGGAAAGGTGCCTACTGACTGGAGGAAAGGTTATCTCGTGGAACTACCAAAGAAGGGTGACTTACGCCCCACTCTGCAAGAACTGGCGAGGAATCATGCTCCTGTCGACGCCAAGTAAAATCCTGAGTCGCATCATCCTGGAGAGAATAAAGGACGCACTGGATTCAGAACTCCGACCAGAACAAGCTGGATTCAGGAAAGTCAGGCAAATCATGTTCTGACCAAATTGCAACTCTACGCATCATCATCGAACAAAACATGGAATGGCAATCAAACCTCTACCTCAACTTTATAGACTTTGAGAAGGCCTTCGACAGCGTTGACCGCGAAGTAATTTGGAAACTACTCGAGTACTACGGCGTACCCCAAATATTCATCAACCTCATTCAATAGCTGTACGACAACGGCACATGTCAAGTGATCCACAAAAGAAAACTCAGCGAACGAGGCGTTTGGAGTAAACACAGGAGTCAGACAAGGGTGCGTGGACTGGATTATGCGTCTGACAGTGGGAAACGAGAAGACAGGGATATCCTGGACCGACATGAAGAACCTAGAAGACCTGGATTTCGCGCGTGGATGATTTACGCTTGATGTCACACAAAATCGAAGACTTACAGGCGAAAACCGATAAACTGGTCGAAGAAGCAGCAAAGACAGGACTCCAAGTGAACATAGACAAGATGGAGGTTATGAAAATAACCAATCAACAACAACAGCAGCAACATCCAGCGCCAATCACCATCAACGGGAGGAATTTGAAAGAAGTTACCTCACTCATTCACTTATCTAAGGACCATTGTCTCAACTATAAGGCAATCGGAACGGACGAGGACGTCAAATCGAGCGGGAATCGGGAAGGCGAGAAACACATTCATCCTCAACCTGAAACCAATCTGGAAATCTTCGTCACTCAGCCAGCATCAACAACAAAATTCAGTCGGATTTACAATACAAACAACGTCAAGTCAGTCAGTTCTTCTATACAGATCAGAAACTTGGCGGGCGGATCACAAAGAATATTTCCAACAGGCTATTGCAGACCTTAATCAACAACTGCCTTCGCTCTATACTGAAGATCAGATGGCAGGAAAGAATCACCGACAAGAAACTACGGGAACAAAAAAACAAGAGCCAGTCGCCCAACAAATATGCAGGAGAAAGTGGAGATGCATTGGACACTCTCCGAGGAGGCCGTTTGGCGACATCGCGCGCGCGTCAGGCCATTGCTCAAGTGGAACTCAAAAGGGAAGCGGCGAGTGGGACATCAGTGCAAGGGTGACATGAAGGAGGTCGAGCGAAGAGGAGTTGAAGGGTATGGACTAACATGGCTGCAGGTGAAAAGTACAGCAGAAGACAGAAGCAAGCGGAGACGTGCAGTTGAAGCCCTATGT